CTTGATAAGACCTAGGGAAGGAGGACTACGTAACAATATGGCAGACTCTGATCAACATTCCCAGCACAAGGGTGAAGGGGTGAGAACGACAGCGTGGAGTATAAAGGGTTTTCATGAATGCCACTTGAAGAAGCCCACCACACCTCATTAAAATAAGCACGGTTAAAAATTGTAACAATGACGGCGTGATTGGAGGCTATAGGAAATGTAAATATACCGGGGCAGATGGGAAGGATCGGCTTCACATGATTCTTTAACGAGTTGTTTTGTGGTGCTATGAATGGCCATACTCACTGACGATGCCAACTACGAAGCGAGCGAAACTTTTGGGAATGTACCACGTCCACGGTCCAACTTTAGAAATGATCATGCATACAATGGACTTCGGACTAGGTGCGTTCCTCTAAGTCTTCTTACCAACATGACAATGTTGCGAAAACAAGGTCAAACCTCCTCTATACAACGGAAGGAGATTGCGACCACACAAAAGGCCACACCTTCTTGGTCTTCATACCTCCAATAACGCTTATCATTTTGCATTATATACTTTGGATTTTGTTATAATATTCTTCAAGATTGAGTGATCAGGATTATAATTTTAAATATATCATGATGTGTTCAGTAATAAACGATACATCCTATGACTTTAAAGTAGAAACCAAAATTTTACCCAAAGCATTGTTTGATAACTTTCACCTCCGAAAGAAATTTAATGATTATTTTATTTTTATTTTTCTTTTAGCCCCAGTCAAGAACTTAAATTTGGCTCCAGTTGGCCATGAAGGCCATGAACAACTTAACATTTCTGGCAAATTGTGCCATGGTTACTTGGCTGGCGTACTGAGACTCATGATCAATCCCTTGTTTGCCTTTTTCGCTTGGTCAAACTTCTTTACCAGTCTTGGCTTTAATGCCCCCTTCCTCTATGCCGTAGATCGAGCCCAACTTGCTGGCGTGGAACCAAAGCGAGCCAGCTACCTTATTTCAGCAATCGGTGTTGGCAACATGATCGGTAGATTAATATTTGGCGCTGTGTCAAGTCGAGTATCCGCCAAGAGCAGAGTGCACATCTATAATGCTAGTCTAGTGGTCTGTGGTTTAGTGACAGCCTTAAGTTGTTTCGCTACGGTCTACTCTGGAATGGTGGCCTTTTCAGCGGCTTTCGGAATTTTGAGTGGTTTGTTTATTATATTTTTATATGATCTGCATACTTTTTATTTCGTTTGGAGTAGAGGCTCTAAGACATCTGTAAATTGGCTTTATGAGAAATTTAAAGATTTCTTCCAACATATCACACATCCTCCTTCGGTTTCTGGTGAGGCCAATTTACACATCTCCACCTTCCTGTGCAAAGAAAAATATAAAGTTATGAACAATGTAAATTTATTAGATGATTCCTTGAAACTCAACTTCTCTTCATATATTTTTACACTATATATTGGTAGCATATGCAAGGCTTAGGGTCTCCTTACAAGAAAGCTTGCCTGCTCATAGGGAAAATTTTGCTTTGAATGTGACTCAACAAAATTGGTTGCAAAGCTTTCGTGAATTAGCCTCATCGAAAACCTAAGGTTGTTTGTATTGGAGCAAAGACTGTCGGATTGCGCAAACAAGTTCTTGGCTCAGCGCCTTATAACACCGATTAATCCATTTTGAGTTTAAATTTGTCATTAAGCAGACATCGTCAAGACGAGAAATTATACTTTAAGCAAAAACGCACCATTATAATAAACATACACACTTCCTATACTTAATTTGGATATCTCGACATAGAATTATTTGGTTTGATGCTTCATATTTATCCTACATGCCTATAGATAGATTAAGCTGATGCATGAAAAGAAAGCAAAATCAGGGAACAAGTAGAGTGGTCTGTCAGCCTATACCATCCAAACTATTAAGATGCCCTTACTCCATTTATGAATATTAAAAGTAATTAACTGTTAAATCTAATGAATCAGTATGTACCTCAGTCTACCCATTTCCTGGTCTCAGTTATTTGCGTCTACCAGATGCAAACTCATTATTTTAATCGCCTTCATAAATCTAATTTTGGCGCATAA